AAGACAGACAGACAGACAGACAGACGGGCCGGCGACAGACTACCTTTGCCGTTTGCCGCAGTCGCCGCGAGAGAGAAGGATGGCATCCCCTGCTTGCCCTGGCCTGCCCTGTCCTGGCACTGACTTGGTAGAGCCAACCATATAGCGAGCCGTACTCTTTTCCTCCTTCGTACTCTTCTCCTCATGCTGCCTTCAAGAGCCGTGCACTTTAGGAATGCGGCTCGACCACCACCGGGGTCGGGGACCGGGTTGCAAAGTGCAAAGTTCTTTTTCCTTCCGTTCCTTTCTCACTGCCTCGTGCCCTCTACTGTCTCCTCGCCAGGAATGATGCAGCCCGGTTAGCTCCGCTGCTGCTGCGGTCCCTGCAGTCGATATGCGGCTGCCTCGGGTGCGGCAAACAGGGACCTCCGGCGGCTGCTGCGGCTACTGCAGTTGCTGCTGTAGCGCGGCTGTCGCCACCGCCGTCGTCATTGTCGTCATTGTTGCCTGCAAGTGTAGCGGTGCCAGCTGTGCGGGCGCTACGAGAGGCGCTTGCAGTGCTCCGGGACTGGCTGGAAGCGCCCAAAGCTGCTTCAGGCGCATCTTGCACGACAGTGGAACAGCTGGAAAGGGTGAGCCCTCTTGCGCCCCCACCCTCACCCCACAGTGTGTCGGTCGGATAGCCGGACTAGGATGGTTGGGCTGGTCGGGTCAGGGGCGTGGTTAGGTGGTGGGGTTGGGAGGAGCACATGCATGTTTAGTTACCGGCAGCTTATTAGCAGCTAATTAGTCAGTTAGCCAGTTAGCCAATTTGCCTTTGTTCCATACTTCCGCAGCTAGGCCGGCGTGTGTTTCCGCAGCTAGGCCGGCGTGTATTTCCTTCAGCTTCATCACCTCTTTTTGTTTGAACTTACATCACATTACGGCACCTTTTGATCTTCGTCGCCTTTACACTTTTACTTTAAGAAGACTATGGATACGTTTGTTTATGCTTTATTTCCGCATTTTTGAGTCTCGGCGGCTAGGTAGGTAGGTTTTTTCTCCGCTATCTTCTTATGACTACATAACCGCGAAGGCTCCTCCTTCACAAGTTGTGACTGGTTAGTTACTTCTGGCGTATCATCCGTCTATCCTTGGCATCAGCTTCACTCGTTTGTGGTTCGTCTTCCCACCCCACACCCCATCCGCCCCTTCATTCTCTCCCACCCCCACCCTGCCCCGGGCCCCCCGGTGGTGTGGGGCAGTTGGTGCTTCGGCCGACGGCAGTTGCCGTCTTTTTACTTTCGTAAATCATAAAAGGAGCTAGCGCCACATGAAGAGTTTATGTGCTTTCGCCGCGCTCTCCGTCCATCGGAGGAGAGCCCGATGATGTCCGTGGAGGGTGCCCGACGTGTCTTTGCCCTATGACATATGTTGCCGAGCGGCCGCTGGCTAAATGAGCTGTGGTGGCTGCGATGATGTCTGTATGTCTGTTTCCTTTACATGTCCATGCTGTGAGTACGCTGATCCTGTGTCCTAGTGCCCCGGTATCCTGGTGCTGGTGGTGCTGGTGCTGGTGCTGGTGCAGGTCCTCCAGGATCACGTGGGCCAGCTGGCGGACTGCGTGTGCGCCGCCATGCAGGTGGGGGCGGCTGCGGCGCCGGGTCGCCGGGGGCCGCGTTCCGTGCCAGCGGCGGCTGCAGCAGCGGCGGCAGTTCCCGGGGCTGCCGCCGATCCGGTGCTGCTGGAAGTGGACCCGGCACTCACGGCTGCCGTACGGGAGGAAGCATTGCGGTGTTGCTCGGGCCTTATGGACGCGCTACCGTACCACGTTCTGCACCCCATGCGGCAGCAGGTAAGGGTTTTTGGAGGGGCTGCATGGCGACAGAAACAGAGAGAGTTTTGTTGTTGCGAATGTCTGGGGGATCAAAGCAGCTGGTTTGGCGGAGGGGAGAGGGAGGAGGCTATCAGAGCGACATGCTCTGCGTGTTACAATGATAACGTTGCGTAGTTTTGCGCCTCTGACGGTGGGGCCAAGAAGGTGCCGCCGCCTCCGTGTCACCCGACTTTTGCTCCGAAACACCGTTTGAATGCGGCAACTGCGGTCCTACTTCGTCAGTGACGCAGGCAGCTGCTTGTGATTATCACACGGCTAGGTGCCACTGCAGAAAAATCCAACCGCAGCCATACGAATATCAATAATGAGTTTCAACGTTTTGTATCTTGTGCAGCTAATTGTACAGCTGGAAAAATGGTCTGCCGTTTGCTAATATAAGTTGCCTAAAATAAAAGTGCGTGGAACGCGGGATACGATTGAGTTGTACACATAGTTACTCGTAGTAGGCGTACGCGTAAGCAGTCGAGCTTGTACGGCCAAGCAGGCGTATATGGAAGTACGGCTAGCCAAGCACATGTATCGTTTGCGGCTCTCTGATGAGTGTGGGTTATATTGGGGCAGCTGTGCGTGTGACCGCGTGACGGTCTTGTGACTGTCTCTTTTTGAGTTTTTCGGGGGTTTGCGCGGGCGCGCGTCTCTCCCTATCTCCCCCGCCCCGCAAGCTCACAATTGGGCAAACGCGGACTTCGCCGGTTTCGTTCTCAGGGTGTCTCAGACCAGTTGTAGCGGAAGGTCATTCAATGTCATTAAACGATGGCGAGAAGTTGAAAGCCAAGGGAAGCTGAGCGCATTGGTGTATGTGCATATGTAGGTTATGTACGTATATATCTAAGAATATGTGTTTATGTATGTTTCGCATGTCAATATTATAGGTCCCACCGCTACGCGAATCATTCATGCAGCGCAAAGCCAAATCCTTGAACGATAAACCCTTCCTTTTCGTCTGTCCATTGGAGTTTTCCAAAGCGCAAAAGGCCGCTGCAATAACCCTGGAAGAAGGCGAAGCATGGATTTTGCCGGTGTTTTTTTGGAACTTTTGTCGTGTATGCCATTTACAACTTGCGCTGCAGGTCGTCAGCTGTGTTGTGCGAGCTCTTGATGACAACAGGCGTAGCGTGCGGCAGCTTGCGGTCCGGGCGCGGTGCGCTTGGGGAGATGCTTGACCGCGGCGCTTCCGCTTCGCGGCCGACTACGGCAGCTCCGGATTACCATGCGACCATCCGCAGACGAAGGGCCACGTGCAGCATCCCGCAAATTAAACCGATGCGCGCTGATGCGTCAGGAAGACAGGTTACAAATTTTCATAACACGTGAAATGTGTAATGCCTGACGTCGGCTTTCCTTTGCCCAGCGAACGAAAGGTCGTAAGTTGTAAAGGCTGACAATATTGTCTCGTTTCCAAACTTTGTTCACAGCAGCTCACTGTATGCTTATCATAAACGTAGAATCCAAACGTGCAGGGCTTGGCTGCTGCGCGGAAGAGCTTGACAAACGGTTTGCGCGTCATCACGAGCGAGCTTTGTCGTGCAGGACAGTATTTACGGTATTTAAGGCGGTGTACAAACTCAGTTATAATGGTTATTCGATTGCGAGCAAGCAGTGTTTGCATTTATCCCGGTAGTGAGCATCATTCGATTTCCTGTTTTTAACCTGGTTATCGGCATGGCCGTCCATCATCCAGGATGAACAGGAGAATGCATCGTTTGCGGTAGGTGCCCTGGAACTTGCCAGGGGAAGATGGACCAGGAAGGAACAGCAATAGTGAGTCGTCGATACAGTCTATGCACTCTTACAAGGGGTTCCTAATTTCAACGGCTACCGATAGTGCGGGCTTAACTTTGGAGGTCCCTTCACAGTGTCGAGTGCGGCTGTCACACTCTTACAGACATATACAGACAGGAAAACATTTAAAGACTTAGGGTTTTGAACCGGCGGTCGTAAGTTATGGCTGTGTTGGCAAAGCTTAATGGGCACGGCGTGGGAACTGAGCGGCTCAGGTAGACGGTAAGAGCAGCCGTTCTTGTTAGAACGGCTAACGTTCCCATAACAACATAATTGCAAGTATATACAAGTCAATTAGGATTTTACGAATGGACATCATAATTTCAAGATATTTGGCGAGCGGCAGCAGTGCTCCCTTCACTTGCACCGGCCGGCACTAGTGGTATGGCAATGTGCAGGAGGCATCATGTGGCGCTCAACATCCAATTAAAGCTGTGCGCTCACCGAAGCATCGCGCAGATCGGTTGGGAAAGGTTAAAGGCATTTCCTTGAGCATGATAAGACTCCTGCCGGGTGCACCTGCTCGAAGAAGGTCAAATTAATCAAAAGATAGGATTAGGTTTTCATTCCAGATTGTGTCAAATTTTAAAATTGCTGTGCAATGCCAGGTCTAGGTATAGATTAATATGAAGACGCAGAGCACAAAAAAACAGTGTCTATCACGCCTTCATGGAGACAAAGCCGCATTTGCGTTATAACTCTGAGACTGGAGAGAAACGGCAAGAAGTACGACACACAATTTGCGAAGGTTTGGTTGTTTCAATGGTGGCTAGCTCTGCAGCATAATACAACATATGCACATGTGTCCAGAGATTGTGGGGCCTCATCGTGGCTGTGCGTGTATAGCCCTTACCCTTGTCTTCGCGCATACATTTAATTTAATTTTACCAGGATATCAAACTACGGCTGCGCTTGCTTTCAGAATATGTAGGATAGGGCCATCGTGCTTGTCTCAAGTTATTGCGCCAGTTGAGCCCTGCAGTTCCTCAGCCTAGGCACATGACAAGGTTTGCACGTCATGGACCGTTTATTTGAAGGGAAAGGACCTATTTAACCGTCAGGCGTCTGGGAAACCTCCAAGGTGCCGCCTCACGACCGGTATACAGTCGACCTTTCCTAGGCGGAAGTGGAACGGTGTGCAGTGTAAAAAAATGGAGGATGCTATGCAAACCAAGATGGTGCAGCTCCAAGCTGAGCTAGATAGCCTGCACAAGGTCCGACCATTCGTTTCGCGAGCGCTGACCGGCTGACAGTCACAGCCGGTTGAAAGCCTTGGAAATGCGGGTTATAATCAAACAATTTTGAACTGTAGGCCATTGCTGTCCTAAATCAATTAGCGGCGGAGCTGGACATTCACACAGCCATGCAAAACGTGCGTCAAGTGGCACTGGAACTACTTGACTGCGAGCGCGTGACCTTGTTCCTTATCTTCGAGCGGCGGGGGGAGCTCAGGTGGGGGACCCAAATTAACGTCTTCTGCTGCCGCTTTCGGGATCACATGGCGCATGGCCTCACTTCCTGTTGTATGGCTCCGCACATCGCAGAGCCATGATCGACCAAAATCAAATTTTGCGCATCCAATTCGGAGAGGGGATCGCAGGGCTGGTCGCGCAAACGGGTGAGTCATAGCGACAGAAGAGATGCCTTAAAGCACGTACTGCACGACCACGATGGGCGCCCAGGTTGCTGCACGGGTGTTGCTTGCCAAGCATGCAACCTGCTCTTAGGCGTGTACAAGGACAGCGTACATCCGCTGCTGCGAACATCCTACACCACTCGCAGCACGGCGGCAAACCCCGCATGCAGTGGAGGATACACCCACTTCCCCCCAAATCCCAGGGCCGTCTGTGGCCCCACACGGCGCCTGTCCATATGCCGCAACTCCTTAAACCGCCCTGATCGGCAGTCACGCACACGCACACACACAAATACGCACACCGAGCTTTCTAGTAGGGTCTCGTACCGTAGTAGGCAGGGGTAGGGTTTGTGTGGATTTCCCGGGTTTTTCTCTTAGTGAACCCCCACCCCAAGAACCGGATGAGGCCGGGGTTGGAGAGGAGTCTTGCTTCGTGTTTCAGGCTCAGTGCGCAAATTCGCGTGGTGGAGCCTTGACTCGCGAGAGTGTGCGCGCGTGCAGCGCTTGCTTTCCACCCCGGGGGCAAGGGAGGAGAGCGGAGCTAGCGGACCTGCGGCTCTCGGCAGCTTAAGAGGGGGCAGGGGGCCCCCCGCGCGCCCCTCTCCCGTCCGCGGGAGAGAGCTTAGGCGGTGTTTCCGTTGGGGCTGGGCGGCAGTCCCTGGCCAGTGTCAGGCCCGGTCAGATACCTGTAACCTTCACACACATATACACACGCACACGCACACGTACACACTCTCTCCGAGATCCCGTCTCTCCCCGGGGGGAAGGGAAGACGGACCCACCACGGCCATGGCGGTGGCTGCCCAGGGCGCTGCTGCCTCCTTGCCAGGCCATGCAGTGCAGCAATAAGCTCTCCCAGCTCTGTCGGGGGCCGCCCGGCCCTCCCCCCTCCTTCGCCAACCCGTTAGCCTCTCCAGCCACGTGCATCCTTTCCCATACCGCTGCAAACATACCCGCCGGCGCGCGCCCTAAGCCCCCTCCCTCCCCCCTCCCCCCTCCCCCCTCCCAGGCGGCAGCATGAACCTCCCTGACGTGTACGAGCACCCCATGTTCAACAAGGAGGTGGACCGGGTCACAGGCTTCCGAACCCGCAGCATGCTGTGTATGGCCGTGTCGGATATGACCGGCAAGAACGTCGCGGTGTTGCAGGTGGTACTGGGGGGAGGGAAGGGAGGAGGGAGGGGAGGGGAGGGGGCATGCACAGGGGGCCGGATGGGAGAGCAAGTAGCTGAGTGGCAAGGGCTGATAGGTGGGGCGGATGTGGGTTTCATAGGGTCAGCTAGCCAGGGTGACCAGAAGCCGGAATGGTGGCCCGGAATGGTGGGTGGGTGCGTGGGAGGTCGCCGGGTGGGGGGTGGGGGTGAGGGGACTGCTTCACGGGGGGGGACCATCGGCTGGTGTGGGGATGGCAAGGTCGTCGTGGGAGTGAAAAGCATGAAGTGACAGGACGTGATGCTCTCAGCCGAGCAGCCAGGACGCGGTCGGTGAGCACAGCGGCGCTTCACACCAGAGTGTGTGTGTGTGTGTGTGTGTGTGGTCCGGGTGGTCCGGGTGGCCCCCGGGGGGGGGGGGAGGGGGAAGGAAGGCTGCAGAGAGGAGTGCAAGGAGCAGCGAAGCTTCGCTAATTTGATTAAAAAGCAACTACACGGCTGCAGCGCTGGGGCGCTCTATCACTGGTCAGTGATTTGGACGGCAGTGCTCTGGGTGGCCATATCGCGCGCTCTGGCTGGCGCCTCATCCGCATGCTCATCGCTACCCTCCCCTCCTAGTTCTCCAGGCCAGCAGCAAACTTTACGCCAGCTTTACGACAGCACTGTTTTACTACATTTCCGCCGCCTTCACACCTACTTTTCTACACCTACTTTTTTACGGCTTGGCAATACGTTTTCTGCTTTTATAGTCCTGGCGTCATCCCGAGGTCGCGGTCTTCACGGACGCCTTTCGGTCAGTTCTACGTTTGGTACACTCTTGCCCTGGCAGCAGCTTCACTCGTTCGTTGTTCGTCTTTCCCCTCCCCTCCCCCCCCCTTCCTGCGCATTGGTCGCTCCTCCAGGCGCTGAACAAGAGGTCCGGACAGCCCTTCACGCCGGCTGACGAACGCAGTCTCAGGCTCTTCGGGACACACCTGGGCAACACGCTGGTGAAGGCGAAGCTGCACGAGACCGCAAAGTGAGCTGCTGGGGGGGCCCATAGCGCCAGTCGGGGAGGAGGGGGGGGTCCTAGCAGCGGATGCAGGACGGGGAGCGGCGGCCTGGGGCCAGGAAGCCAATACAACAATGAAGACACGTTGCTTTGCGGGTGGGCGGGCGGTGTGAGGCGGAGGCGGGGGAGGGGGAGAAAAGGGAAGGAAAACTTGTTCGAGCGAATCCGGGTTTGAAGTGAAAATACCGGTAAATACCGGTAAATATGTGACCGGTAAAGGCGGGAGCTGGCAAAATCAACGGCGGCCAGCGGCCAAATGACGGTCGATAGCCGCGGCAGGAATAATTACAGCGGCAATAGGAGCAAGATCAGTAGGGAAAGACACCGCCACATGTCGCCTCTTAGGTGTCCGTTTCGGTGGGTAGGACCTGGGATATGGACTGGCGGGGCGGGGCTGGGCTGGGCTGGGGGGGGGGCTCTTGAGTACATGTGGTGGGCGCCAGGGCTTGTAACCTTCTACTGTTGCTACTGTTGCTGCTGCTGCTATTAATGCTGCTGCTGCGTGGCCCGGAGTGAGTGTGGATATTGCAACCAGGAGCTGTGTGTGCGGGGTTTGGGGGCAGAGGGGAATGACGCCTACCCCTACCCAGGGACCAACGGCACTCCAAGGGCGGAACCAATGTGTGATGGTGTCCTGAAGGGGGCATTAAGGGACCCTACATAGGGTTTTTAGAACGAAGGGTAGGACAGGCCAAGGCCGACCCATAATGGTGACGTCGGGATCCAGCGCTCTGTCGGGGCCAGCACCGAGGCCTTTCAGAATCTGACCCGCTCTCGGGCCCCTCTCCCCCTCCCCCTCCCTTCCGACCCCTCCCCCTCCCTTCCGACCCCTCCCTTCCGACCCCTCCCTTCCGACCCCTCCCTTCCGACCCCTCCCTTCCGACCCCCTTCCAGGCGGGAGAAGGAGCGGCTGCAGGCTATCTACACCTGCTTCAAGAGCCTCAATGCGGCGGTAAGTGATGCGGGGGAGGCTGCCGGGAGGGGTTGTGTGTGTGTGTTTGGGGGGGGGGGGAGATGGGGTCGGGGGGCATGAAAAGCGGGAGCACTCATTCTTACTTGCCTACCCTCCCCAGGTATTTCCTGAAGAGAGCCTAGCCTTCTCCACCAGACGTACAAAAAGCTTGGGGAGCGGTTCGCTCTTCACTTCATAGCCCACCAGGTCCCGAGAGCTCTTAACAGGCTCATGCCCAGTTCATGCTCACCTCCCCATCGCGTGTTACCCGCGCCCTGCCGCCAGGAGGAGGTGGGCCAGATGGTGGTGTGCGCCACAGCCGCCCTGGAGCGCCACATCATTCACGCCGAGCGGGTGCTGTTCTTCCTGGTTGACAAGCCGCGAGGGGAGCTGTGGCTTCACACCCACCAGGCTGAGGCCGTGCGGTTGAGAGTGGGCCAGCAAGGGGGGGTGGTGGGGATGTGCGCGGAGTCCAGAAAGCCGCAAAGCTGGGCGGTGAGGCCGCGGAAACGGGGGTGTGTGTATGTGTAGGGGTAGGGGTAGGGTGGGTTGGGAGGAGAACCGTGCATATGGAACCGGCAAAGGATCAACGACCGACATTGGAAAAGGGAATGGGGGACATCAGGGGTAGGAGGGGGAATGGGAGGGGGGAAGGAGGTTGCAGAGGCAGGGGTTGTGGGGACGCGAGGGGTTCCCCCAGGGGGCTAGGAGTTAGGGGTTTGGGGGGGGGTGGTCAGGGTTGGAGTTTTGTAAGTGAACCGATTTGGGGAGGGAAAGATGTGGGAGTCAATGTGCCCCGGGAGCGGAGGAGGGAGGGAGGGGGGGGCCCAAGGGGAAGAGATATGGGACACGACCTGACCCGGACCAATCTCGGACGGGGCCAGCTTCAT